TGAGGCTGCAAGGACTGGTCTAACAGCCAGGTGGGACTGAGGATCAGGTGAGTATATTGTCTTCATTTTAGCCCCCTACCACTTACCCCCTCGCAGTGCGGGGGTAGCCCCCCTGCATGGTTATATTTGAATAAATCTTGGAGTTCTTTAAATGTATATCTATGTTTCATTGTATAATCCTCTGTGTATACCACATTATATATCTTTTGTTTTATTTCATTTGTCACTAAATTGGTTGGATGGTGATACTGATCTGTGTTTTTGCTCCATTAGAGCTGATCATGGAAATGATTGTCCCCTATGGAAGTGCATTTACCAGTACGATGCTTTGCTTTAGGTGCACGTTTCCAGAGATCTGCAGATTGCTACGTCTACACCATCGAGCACTGCTTCTCAACCAAACAAGGCCAGCAGTGAATTTGTCTTTTCTGGTAGAATGACTCTTTCCTCTGAATGGCTTGATTATCTCTACAAAATAGTCAGTTTCCTCTATTTTTGCATCAATAGAAGCATTCATTCGTTGGCCATCTTTCATGTCACTGACCAAATGAGTCAGTTCACAACCAAATGAGTTTCATTGAATTTATTTTTCTAGTTGAGTTTTATTTATACTTCAGGATTCTTTTCTAAGATCTGATGGATTTGTTGCTGCTAAATAATCCTGATCCATTGTATATTTTAAACTTTACCTATCGCTTATATTAGTTAGAAGGATGCAGCCTGTTATGGTAAGTTAGCAGAAAGGCACTCCTCATGGCTATTCTTTTTTTCGGTTATTTTAGGCTGTCAGGGTTATTCACAAAAGGGTGAAGAGGTTGGAGGAGGCAGGAGAAGTGAACAATCTTGGATAACGTAGCTGAACTGGAAAGTGAGCTGAATTGGAGAATTCTTCCAAATCAACTATTTTAGCCTAAATTGTTCACTTCTCCTGATTCTCCAAACTCTTCACCCTTTTGTGAATAACCCTGTAAATGTTGTGTCACCTAAAATATTTGCTTGCTACTTTAGGTAAATGAGACAAATGCACTTAAAGGAAACATTGTCTTTTTTTTCCATTAGATAGATTTTCTAAGTTTAGTTTGTAATTATTTGTCCACATGGAGGCAGCCATATTTGGTAAAAATAGATTTCATGGCATGAAACATTCACAGATCCCCTGGTAATCAGTGACCATGTGACCTAAGCAAAAGAATAAGAATATTATATTATTATATATGATAACATACAACGATTTTACTGCTAAAATGATTCAATTGTATTGATATATCTATTTAAAACATAAACATATGTCTGTAAAGCATCCAACAACTGTTCACACCTTTACCCTTTAACACCCATAGATCCCCTGGTAGCCAAGGAAAAAGGGCTTGATTTAAAGTGCTTTTGCTGCTTGTTTGCAGTATATAAATACTTCAGTGTGTGTTGTCTGGACACAGGTTTACTATAAATGCTGGATTTCTTAATTATTTTACTACTCAGCACCTCATCAAACTTGTTTATAGTGCAATGCCAATCCTCCCATTTACAAGTCTGTACATAATCTATCAGGGCTATTCACGAAAGGGTGAAGAGTTTGGAGAAGGCAGGAGAAGTGAACAAACTAGGACAGCATAGCTGAACTGGAAAGTGAGCTGAATTGGAGAATTTCTCGAAATCAGCTATGTTGTCCTAGATTGTTCACTTCTCCTGTCTTCTCCAAACTCTTCACCCTTTTGTGAATACCCTGTATATTTCTTTTGGTTATTGATTTGTTTGTAAATAGAGGCATCATTTTGTTTTTGTTTTTTTTAGGGACTTCCTTCCACGCGGCTCTGGTATTGTGACTAGACGTCCATTGGTTCTTCAGCTCATCACTTCCAATATAGGTAGGAAGTTTTGGGGATAATAATATTTTTAAAATCCTTCTAAAACTCATAAATATGTCCCAGTGTTTGTAAACAGTGTTGGATTAAGGCCAGCTGATGCCTTAAGCACAGCCCAGGAATGGTGCCCCTCATCACTTCCATTGCGTAACTGACAAGATGTGGGGATTCAATGGGGTTGATTTACTAAAGGCAGATAGGCTGTTTGCTTTGTAAGGGAATTTTCACTCCGTTTTCACTTCACTTCACTCCTCTTTACCACATTCACTATGCTAAGGGAAAATTCCCTTGCAAAGTAAACAGCCTATTTTCGTAAATCAACCCAATAAATGCTAAAGGGGAAATAAGAAATTTAAATTTAAATTTTCTTTCAGGCCATCTTCTAGGCTAAACCCTACAACTAAAAAATAAACTATTTTTTTTATTTATCACTATAAGTAGGCAGTTAAAAATATGAGCAAATTATTTACATATAATTAGGACAAAAATACAAATGCTAATTATCTGCATGCAGCCCTGGTGAGACTCAAACGCAGCCCTGGTGAGACTCAAATGCTGCCCTGCTGAGATCTGCATGCTGCCCCGGTGAGACCCAAAAAGCAGTCCTGGTGAGATCTGCATGCAGTACTGGTGAGACCCAAACACAGCCCTGATGAGATATGCATGCAGCCCTGGTGAGATATGCATGCAGCCCTGGTGAGATATGCATGCAGCCCTGGTAAGATCTGCATGCAGTCCTGGTGAGACCCAAACGCAGCCCTGGTGAGATCTGTACGCAGCCCTGGTGAGACCCAAACGTAGGCCTGGTGAGATCTGCACGCAGCCCTGGTGAGATCTGCACGCAGCCCTGGTGAGACCCAAACGCAGCCCTGGTGAGACCCAAACGCAGCCCTGGTGAGACCCAAATGCAGCCCTGGTGAGACCGCACACAGCTCTGTATAATTGCTTTATAATCATGGATTGGTGGGATCTGTAGTCCTCTATTGCTGGTTGTCATTCTCCATTGCAAAGGGGGCTTTGTTCAGATTCAAATCTGGAACGCATCACTTAGGTTTTTGTTGTAACTCATGATGTGTAAGATAATATAAAATGTTGTTAACAACTCACGTAATTGTTTTTTCTAGAATATGCTGAGTTCCTACACTGTAAAGGAAAAAGGTTTTCAGATTTTGATGACGTTCGTCAAGAAATTGAAGCAGAGACAGACAGAACAACTGGTGCAAATAAAGGAATTTCATCCATTCCTATAAATCTGAGGTTCAAATGCTGCCCTGCTGAGATCTGCATGCTGCCCCGGTGAGACCCAAAAAGCAGTCCTGGTGAGATCTGCATGCAGTACTGGTGAGACCCAAACACAGCCCTGATGAGATATGCATGCAGCCCTGGTGAGATATGCATGCAGCCCTGGTGAGATATGCATGCAGCCCTGGTAAGATCTGCATGCAGTCCTGGTGAGACCCAAACGCAGCCCTGGTGAGATCTGTACGCAGCCCTGGTGAGACCCAAACGTAGGCCTGGTGAGATCTGCACGCAGCCCTGGTGAGATCTGCACGCAGCCCTGGTGAGACCCAAACGCAGCCCTGGTGAGACCCAAACGCAGCCCTGGTGAGACCCAAATGCAGCCCTGGTGAGACCGCACACAGCTCTGTATAATTGCTTTATAATCATGGATTGGTGGGATCTGTAGTCCTCTATTGCTGGTTGTCATTCTCCATTGCAAAGGGGGCTTTGTTCAGATTCAAATCTGGAACGCATCACTTAGGTTTTTGTTGTAACTCATGATGTGTAAGATAATATAAAATGTTGTTAACAACTCACGTAATTGTTTTTTCTAGAATATGCTGAGTTCCTACACTGTAAAGGAAAAAGGTTTTCAGATTTTGATGACGTTCGTCAAGAAATTGAAGCAGAGACAGACAGAACAACTGGTGCAAATAAAGGAATTTCATCCATTCCTATAAATCTGAGGATATATTCACCAAATGGTATGTGAGTCATTTATCAAAACATGAGCTAACAAATTAGTAGGGATGCACCGATAAGAAGTACCATACTCGGTACAGGTACAAATACAAGTACAGATACTTTTCCAGCTCCAAGACTAGACTAGAGAAAAAATTCAAAAGTTAGGAGACAGCTGTCATTTGTAAGGAGCATACAGAGCTCCTGGGATTTGTACATCCCTGTTTTAATGTATGATTTTGTTTTTATAAATATAAATAAAGGGATGCACAGATACCATTTTTGCAAGTACAAGTACTGATACTTGCCCAAGTACCCACAGATACAAGTACTGATACATTTTTGTGTATTGTCATGTGACAGTTTTTATAAAACAATACAAACTAATGATTTCAGGACAGTGGTGGAGCGCCAGAGCTAGGTCCCAGCAACAACATTTACAACCCTGGTAGTTCTCATGAAAATGGCAAGTATCGGCACTTGTATCTGAAAAGTATCGGTGCATCCCTACAAATTAGTGTATGCTACATGCAGCAAAATGTAAGTGTTCTTTTTTCTATAGCAAGCATTGCTCCTTTTTTTTTTAGGTAAGTACAATCCCATGCAGGTGAACTATATACACTGGGCTGAATTTATCACAGCAGTTGCGACAGTTTTAGTTTTGCGACAGTTTTAGTTTTTTATGTGCAAATCTGTCTTTTAACATGTGCCCCTGTTTTGACCTGAGCTTGCACTACTTTTCCAACTGCACGTGTTTTGCACCTGTTGTCATCTGCACTTGTTCTGCAGCTGTCTGAAACTGGAGCATCACCTGACAAAACAATCACAACTTAAGAGGTCCCCATGACCACTTCTGCAAGAAGCGACAGTTAAGCTTTTTGCCTGGAGCTAAGAGTCTTCTTTCCTGGAGTCTATTAAACCTTATTTATGAACATTACACTAGAATCATAAATCTGGTGCAAAGTGCATCAAATATTTTCCGTGCAAGTTGAAACACTCACAATTGCTATGATAAATTCCCCCCACTATATAAACATTTCCATAGCACTCAAACATATTTGTATAAATTGGACTTTGGAACTGGCAAACAACAAAAATAATAAATATGTTGTACTTAAAATCACAATATTTAATTGTACAAGAATATATTAAAAGCATTTAATAACAATAATAATTGATTGAATGCAGCAACATCTCATTTTGAAGCTTTATATTTACAACAATGCCTCTGACAGCACCCTCTGCTCAGTTCACATATATTGTATATCTAGTAAAATTGTATAACTATCACCATTGGTCTAAAATACTGTCAGGGCTATTCACAAAAGGGTGAAGAGTTTGGAGAAGGCAGGAGAAGTGAACAATCTAGGCCAAAATAGCTGAAGTGAGCTATGTTGTTCTAGATTGTTCACTTCTCCTGCCTTCTCCAAACTCTTCACCCTTTTGTGAATAGCCCAGTTTGTCTTGTATTGCATATAGTTAGTACTAATAGCAGGTTAGAAGGGGCTAGGTCCAATGTATTTCTTGGTCTGTGATCTGAACAGAAGATTCTCGGAGTGGATGCCAGAGGTATTGTTGTAAGTCTAAAGCTTCAAAATGAGATTTTGCCACATCCAATCATTTATATTGTTACTATATTTTTAAATAAATTATTGTACAATCAATTGCAGGCTGCGGTGCAAATAATACATTAAAAAAAAAATGGTAAAAGTCCTAGGCATGAACAATCATTTAACCATTGCACTACATGGGAAGATTTTTCTTTTTTCATAGAGTTCATCTTTAAGTAAGAAATGTATTGTGTGTAATAAATAATCTGTCTTCCTACACAAGATTTTGGCAACTGTATATGTTTTTCTGTAGTGTTTCTGTGGATATTAAGAAAGCATGTTATCACATTCATTTAATGGCTACATGTGTCATTCTTGCAGTGTTGAATCTGACCCTTGTTGACTTGCCTGGCATCACAAAAGTGCCTGTTGGTGACCAACCTGCAGACATTGAATCTCAGATTCGAGAAATGATTATGCAGTTCATCTGTCGTGATAATTGCCTTATACTTGCTGTGACTCCTGCAAATACTGACCTCGCCAATTCAGATGCCTTAAAGCTTTCTAAAGAAGTAGATCCTCAAGGTATGAATCTTTATTTTCTGCTAACACTATTTCCCTGGTGGTCATACCTTTCCATTGCCCAGAGAGGTACAGAAGTGACCACTATGTTTTTAGTACAGACAGGTTTTTCTGTTAAGAGGGGGGTTCTTATTCTTTCATTTTTTTCTTCCTCTGTGTTGCCTCTGCTCCCATTCTTCGTGTGATTACTTTCAAGTCTGAAGGCTCATTTACACCAGGTGAGTTCAGTTGCATTCACCCTGGGTTTTTCACTGCACGGACAGTTGAGAAACAATTGCTGTCTATGGGTCCTGTTCACACCACATTAATGTGTTGGTGTGTGGAGGAAAACTGTACGCATGCTGCTTGGCAACATTACTTGGCTATCAAAATACAAAAAATGATGTATAAACAAACGCATTCAAAAACCACAGTTAAGAATACAGTCAAAAGCAGCACAACATGGTAAAAAAAAACGTGTGTTTCTCTGCATTTTTATGTGTGATGTGGTGGAATCTTGCATCCTTGTCCTTCCAATCTGAATGGACTGTGCTTCTCTTCTCTAGCCACTGGGTGGTGCTGCGCATATAGGAAGCATATGATCAGCAGCACTCATAGGTGTAGTCCATGTACCAGAGATGCAGAGGATGGCGGCTGAGACATTTTGACATTTGAACCGATGTCTTCCTCTACGCTGTAGACGTTTGCACAGTGGTTATCAGGAAACGGTGTTTCTTTTTCAGTGTGATATTCTGTTTCCTGGGAGACAACAAATTCACTACTGAATGAAGTTGCTGCTCCATAGTAGAAAAAGAAGCATTTTGTCTACTCCCTGGAAGCATCGGGAATGATTTCAGAAATGCCATTAACATTCACACACTGTGCTTTTGACCTGAAGTTGAAAATGGTCTTGGCAAACACTCATGTTGTTCCTCTGTGTGTCATGAGAGATATTTTATGTGTTCAGTAATTTGATACACAAATCTGTTAGCCGGGAGACATCTGTCCACATATTAACACAATCTACTATGACACCACTTATTTATATATTAGAGGGAATATGTGGTCACAATGCAACAGCCAACGTGACTAATGTTTGTATGATTTATTTAAAGCACATGTTGTCTAAATAGAAGAGCCATGTGTATTCTTATTTGAATCTTGGCGAGCTCTGTCTTCTTGTGCAGTGCGGCTGGTCTTGTATCCACCCCCTCTTGTAGTTTTCTGCAGGCATCTTGTACTGGGTGGAGCCTGCTGGGTCCCCCCTACAGCTCTGCTTTCTGTACAGGTTATGTGCAGCACAGTGATGATGTCACTGCTATTTTACAGGGTAATATTTTGGTTTGCAAAAGCCATATGGGGAAGCTTATAAAAAAACGATGGACAATGATTGGGACTTTTTGACTCCTTAGGTCTCAGAACAATTGGTGTGATAACAAAACTGGACCTCATGGATGAAGGAACAGATGCCCGAGAGATATTGGAGAACAAACTACTTCCTCTTCGCAGGGGTAATGAGTAATGTTTTTTTTTTCAAGAATAAGTTTTTATTCATCACATTCCGAATACAGTTGAGTTATATAGTTGTATGCATACATATAACAATAACACCTGCATACACCCTCCCCGATGTCATTAATAAATAAGTTGAACAATATCAGCACACAGCACAGAACCCTGAGGCACACCGCTCATTACACTAGCCCAGTCTGAAAAGGGTCCATTTACAGATACCCTCTGGACCCGTTCCCGTAGCCAGTTCTCTATCCACGTACACACCACCTCATCTAAGTTGTGATTGTTTTGTCAGGTGATGCTCCAGTTTCAGACAGCCGCAGAACAAGTGCAGATGACATGGTGCAAAGCACATGTTGGAAAAGTAGTACAAGCTCAGGTCAAAACAGGGACACATGTTAAAAGACATAAAAGTCTTAGACATATAAAAGACATATAAGTATCTGTACTTATACCGAGTACGGTACTTGGTATCGGTGCAACATTGTAAGAAATAGAAATATCTGAGAATTGACTGTGTAAATGACCATGTCAGATTCCTACATATTGTATTTTTACTGTATCTCTATCAGTTGAATCCTTTAACAGTGTCATAGAGGTCTATTCACTAACCTGCCGTAGGCAGCCGAGTGAATGACCGACCTAAAGCGATGTGAGCCGAACGCTGTTTGGCTATTCACTTCAGGCTGGTACTGCTGATTTCAGCCGTATATCAGCGGAAATCAGCCGTACATCGGGTGGCTTTGCGTGGCTTCGGGTCAGCCGAACATGCTCAGCATGTTCGGCCGACCCAAAGTGCCGAAGGAGTTCGACTCAGCCGATCTAACATCTGGATCGGCTAAGCCGAACCTCCGGCAGGCTACTTGCTGCTGTTCGGTCTATTCTCATAGAGGCCGAACAGCAGTGAGTGAATAGTCTAATGCCGCTGAGCGGCAATCGGCTCGGCTGTTCTACTCGGTCCCTCTGTGGGACCGAGCAGAACAGAAAAAATAGTTAAAAAAGTAGAAAAAAATAAATAGAAAACGATTGTGCGGAGCTAGCAGTGACAGATAGCTCCGCCCAACTGTTTTCTATTGGCCGGTGGTTCTGTTGCCGTCAAAAAAAAAGAAGGAAAAAAAAAACATTTCCGCCATAGGAATGCATTACTAGATTCCTATTGGCTATTTCAATTTGCAGTAGCCAATAGCAAACTAGCTATTGTACCCGCCCGCTGAGCCGCTCGGCCGACTTCGGGAGCTGTACGGGCTATAGTGAATAGCCCGTACAGCAGCCCTTCGGTTCTACTGAACCGAAGGGGTACTGGGGCCAAAGCTAGCCGAAGGATCAGCCAGATCCTTCGGCAGCTTAGTGAATAGACCTAATAGTTTTTTCTTATTACATTGATGCTGTATATGTTTGTATCTTAATACAAATAGTAATGTGTGTTGTTGCACACTTTCAGGTTATATTGGAGTTGTGAATCGTAGCCAAAAAGATATTGATGGTAAAAAGGACATTCAAGCTGCTTTGTTAGCAGAAAAGAATTTCTTCCTATCTCATACAGCTTACAGACACATGGTGGATTGTATGGGAACATCATACCTCCAGAAAGTCCTAAATCAGGTAAAACGTCACTTGTTTTAAGAATTATTATTCAGTCATCTTCTCTGCAATGATTCCTTATAATAATTAGCATTATGTGCTTTATCGAGTGAAGCAAAATATACAGTATATTAGATAGTCTTAAAGGAAAAGTAATTAGCGGAATTATTTGTTTATATATTTCATTTTAGAAAAGAAGTACCAGGCAGCACAGTGGCTTAGTGTTATGTTGGGGTTCTTGGTTTGAATCTCAGCCAGAACACTAGCTACATGAAGTTTTGCATGTTCTTCCTATGCTTGTGTAGATTTACTCTGGTTTCCTCCCACATTTCAAATAGGTGCTGGTAGGTTAATTGGCTGCTGTCTATATTGGCCTTAATATATGTGTACAAATTGGCTATGCTTGTGTTATCACATTCTGCATGCTGTCCCCACTTCCTTCAGAGACAAGAGGACAAGACAAAAACAAGAAAACTGATTGAAGTGCACAGAGCTAAACAATGAAAACTAGAGCTAGTAAAGGGGACCAGAAGTTAAGCTAGCCGAAGGATCGGCCAAAGCTATGGCCAGATCCTTCGGCAGCTTTGTGAATAGACCCCATAGTTTATTAAGTATAAAAAGAGGGGTGGATTTACTTAGGGCAAACCCGCTGTTCATGTTCAGGGGAATTTTCACTTTGCAAAGAATACCCACTCATGGACAAGGAAAGAAAAACAGCATTTTTCCTAGCACATAATTGGATTATGGAAGTCAGTAGAGCTTCACCTCATTCACTAAGCAATAGGAAAATTCCCTTGCAAGTGATCGGCCTATTTGACTTCAGTAAATCAACCCCAAGACAATGGGATGCAGATAACACTGTATTCTAGCATTTTTGGGAGAGGATGAGTCTTAAATAAGACCCGAAGGCTTGATGGACTATAGTACAATTGAGGAGAGTGTAGGACTAATCCAGTAAAGAAGACAAACAAGGCCAAAGCATAGACAGAAACAAATCAAACTTATACAACTTTGGATATTTTATAGTGAGGGTATCACGCATATTTCAGCACTCACAATGCAAATTTTTAACCAGTTTGTTTGTTATCTCTGCCAAAGTCCATTGCCCTCAAACTCCTACAGAGCTGCTGCCCCCTGAAATGTCTGCTGAGATGCTGCCCCTAAAATTCCTGCCAAGGTTCTAAACACTGTGGGGTCTATTCACAAAGCTGCTGAAGGAACTAGCCGTAGCTTTGGTTGATCTTTAGGCTAGATTCGGCCCCAGGACCCCTTCGGTTCAGTAGAACAGAAGGGCTGCTGTACAGGCTATTCACTATAGCCCGTACAGCTCCCGAAGTTAGCCGAGCGGCTCAGTCGAGCTGTTTACTCTGCTCGATCGAGCAGAGTAAACCTTTCTCTGCTCTGCTTTTTTTTCCCCTTCTGACATCGGAGCCGCCGTCAGTCAGAAAACAAAAAACAGCGTAGGAATGCATAGTTACATTCCTATTGGCTATTTCACTTTGCAATAGCCAATAGCAAGCTAGCTATTGCACCTGCCCACTGCTGCTGTCAATCAGCAGAGGGGACCTGAAGTTCTCCATCAGGTCCTCTTCTAGTGATTGACAGCAGCAATCTCTACCTTTATAGGTCCCTGTTAGTGATTATCACACTTGTATTCACTGTCTCTATCACATTTTTTTAAAGCAACTCACCAACCACATACGTGATACCCTACCAGAGTTCAGGAGCAAGCTTCAAGGTCAGCTGCTTTCCATAGAACATGAAGTTGAAGTTTACAAAAATTTTAAACCAGAGGATCCATCAAGGAAGACAAAGGCATTGCTGCAGTATGCTTGTTTTACTTTTCTATGCAATATTTTAGTTTGACAACTAACGTGTTTTATGTGTTTCTTCATACATTGGGTGTAATGTTCAAAGCACGCAGTCAGCAAATAAGAAACGATTGGTTATTATATCCTTATATTTGATTGTTTTGCATTTTACCTTCTAAAACTAATTTGGAAGGTATTATAATAATGTAAAAGCATGGCTTTACTTTACTATTAAAGTTCTGAAGGTATCTTCAAGATTGTCTAGTAAAAGTTGGTTAGTTTAGTCTTAAATCACAGGTTGTACACCCCTGTACTAAACAACCTGTCTTTGCTGGTATTGTTTCTGATCATAATATGCATAGCTAGTTAGTCTTCATGAGGCTTAGATTGGGTGGTCACTGGATTGCTTCTAATGGCAAACTGTATGGAAAGAAATATGAAGGTTGCTAATGCTCAGCTTTCTGCCTAAACATGAGTAGTCTATCCATATAACACAAAATATATGTCTATATATATGTAGATGTTCTTTCATATTTTTATGAAACTGCTTAGCATGTTACCAGATTCTTTAGAACTCATTTTTGCATATGACTGTTTAACAGAATGTTTACAGAGACATTCCAGAATGAGTCATTCTTTTCAAATAATTCATATTTTTAAGGATGATCCAACATTTTGCACAAGATTTTGAAAAGAAGATAGAAGGGTCAGGGGATAAAGTGGATACACTTGAGTTGTCTGGCGGTGCCAAAATTAATCGTATATTTCATGAACGCTTCCCATTTGAACTGGTAAAGGTACAGACTTACGTATCAGATAACTGAAACTGTCTTGATACTTAGTATTAACTCAGTTTAGGCATGACAATACTGTCAGTATTATGGTTATTGAATGGTGCTAACTTAGTTTGATATTTAGGGGATGGGGTAAAGTGATAATGGTATTAAGGGGGTAATCTACTAAAGGCAAATAGGCTGTCCACTTTACAGGGGAAAAGTTCACTTACTTTAGTGATTGTGGAAAAAAAACACTGTGCAAAGAATACCCAATCACATGCAAGAGGAAAAAAAATGCATTTTGGATGATGGAGGTCAAAAGAGCTTCACCTCATTCACTAAACTAAGGGAAAATGCCCTTGCAAAGTGAACAGCCTGTTTGTCTTTAGTAAATCAACCCCAAAGCATTGATATTTTCTATATTGATCTTTTCTATAAAATAAAAAATAGACATTCAGATAGTGTAACATGCTAACATCCGAAGGTCATATATAAATGGTGGCTGACAGGAAACAGCAAAGTAACTTACAGCCATTGGGGAGGAAGCCGGAGGTCATACACTTGTGACTCTTCCTGTGTAAAAGTCCCATTGGGAAGTGCTATATTCATTTCCTTTATGGAAAAAAATAGTGGGAATGAATAGAAATTGTTATAAAGCATCAGTACTGCACACAAATATTAGCATTATTATCTCTTGAACATAACGTATTTGCTGCCATGACAGATCACCTCAGCATTTTATAACAAGGTATTATAACATACTGTGTTCTGTTATAGTTTGTGTTTCCTTGATGTTCTTATGCTAGGTAAAAGAAATTAAAAGATTTCTACGTTCCCTTTATCAATCATTTCATTTTTTTCTTTCTAGTCTTCCAAGATTAAAGTCTCTATGTATATTTAGTGTCTACATTTGGAAAATGGTTCATTTAGAGTAAATACATTACAGTAAATATTTTTTCTCCAATTTTGCTGCAAACTGTCCATATGTGTTAAATGTTCCTATAGGTGGAATTTGAGGAAAAGGACTTACGGAGGGAGATAAGTTATGCGATCAAAAACATTCATGGTGTCAGGTAATTTTTGTTATATGGTAAAGTGCTATATAAATAATTCCATGCTATCGAGCCGCATTGGTATACTTTGGGGTTAAGGAATGATGTCCTGTCAAGAACACTTTGGGTGCATTCCTGAAGCAGCAATATGACCTTGCCCATGCCGTACAACTGCTTAGAAAAAACCCCACCATACATTTATAAAGCACAGTAGTGTGCTATATAAATGGGCTTTGTACAATTAAAATTCATTAAAAAAAGGGCGGGAGGAGTACCTGGATCACATGATCTGTTAAAGCCAGATAACTGGTTTCTTCTCCAATCACAAATCTCTCTGTGCTGCATTAAGCAGAGAAAACTCTGTGATAGATTACAGGCTCTATACCGTGGCCTGCATTTCATGAATGGGCGGTTAAATGTGTGGAATAATACTGCAATGTATAGTGGTATCAGCACTGCTATAAATAGACTCCTTGAGGTTACTCACTTTGCTGTATAGTGCCAATCGGCTTCCATATGTCATGTCTATAGTGCAGAATAGAAAATTAAACAAGGATTCTGATTTGTTGCTATGTTGTGAGCACATATTTCATGCATGAGCCCCTTCATATACAGTATGGCACTGGCATCTATTCTAACCACTAGAAGCTGCTTGTAGTTTACTATGTATAATTCTGCTCCAGAGAAACAGGAAGAAAGGATATACTTTTTAAAATATTTTTTTTAGATATGCTGTGTGAATAGGAACACATAACACACATAGATGGGGTTTTCTCAAATTTGTTTGCAAAAGTGGAAATATACTTTAGAGGTACACTCCAGTCAGAACTGAGAATGAAGACCTGGAAGAGTGCATATAGAGGGAAACAGGTTAGCTGCTCGGGATTAGTTTTGTCATCCAGGAAGTACTGTAATGGAACAGTCCAGTACATTGCTGTTTTTCTCATTTGTTTCTCCCTATTTGTAATTCAGGATAGGTATTTCCAAATACATCCACTGCAGACCACTTGCTGTCTCTCTTATATGCAAAGTGTGATGTATCAAATTGTCAGTACCAAGAAGTTTCTCAACACCACCATTTGGATGCAGACTTAATTTTTTAATCTGATTGGTGCAACAGAGAGATGGTAGAAAATGACATATTACCTGGTCCAGTAAATACCCTTCACCCCATGTGGAGAGACCTCTGGATTCTAGCTGCAGGAGTTTAGATAGATCGAGATGAAAAGACAAAAATCATGAAAAATTTCCATCAGGAGCCTACCACAAATAAATGCAGGCAGGATGACCATTGCCACAACCCTAAAGCTATTGCATCTTTTAAAATGTATCAAAACTCACATGGTATAAAAACATATTTTTGTAGCACACCTTGTATATTTCTTGGATGGCTGCTTAATACCCATCTCCAGCCTTTCTTTCCTATCAAATTGGACATTTTACTTTTTCTTCAAGTCTTTTATAGGGTGACAATACTGCCTTGTAGGTGATCCCTGTTTATTCTTGTCTCTGTGCCTGTCAGCGCATGTGCAATGCAGCAAAGCCTAGTAGATCGTGCTGGCCTTCCCTCTTCTAATATGAGTGCTGCTATACATGAGATTGATACAAACTCAGATATTCACATTAGCTGCATTTAAAAATACGTTTTATGATTTTTCAATTAATAGTTAAGCAGATTGATTAGTGTTTTTATATCTGCTTGGTGTTTAGCTTTAAAGAAGAACTCCAGGAAAAAATGTATGAACCCTTCCAGTGGGGCTACCCCCTGCACTGCAAGGGTTAATTGTTTGTTTTTGTCTAGGTTAAAATAAAAAAAGTTATACTCGCCTCAACTGCAGAGCCGGCTTGCTATTAGACCGGTCCTTCCAGCCTCTCTTCCCCTCTACTGCAGTGGTCTAAGGTCCCGTAAATCATCACGTTCTATACACTTTATAGACATGAGGATGCTGAGGATCATTCCAGCAGGCTAAAGGGAGCACTGTGACAGCTGGCTGGCTCAGAGCTTCAGGTGAGCATAACTTTATTATTTTCAGAACTAGACAAAAACGAGCACTTAACCCGGTTGTGAAGGTATCTCCACTGCATTGGTTAATAACATTTTTCCTGGTGTTCTGTAAAAAAAAAAAAGGTAATTTGCACTGTTTATACAAGACCTTAAGTTAACGGCTGCCTGAGTGATCTGGACACTTCCTATTGGCTGTCCAGTGACAGGGACCTCTCAGGTTCTGGCGACTGCAGCAGTGTGATGGCTGCTCAGTGAGAAGCCACACCAATTCTAAATAGTCCAGATACAACTTTATGCCATTAGGGTCAGGGGGGCTTTCAAGTATAGTAGCCCATGTGTTTCGGGGGTCCAAAGCACACTCCTTTATCAGAAATAAGGAGATAAATCATGTGTGGAATACAATCCCTGCAACTTAAAATTTGTGTTGTGATGGGAGTACATTATTGTGGAGCACGTTGGGCACGTCCTCAGTTAGCTGTTATATGGAAGTTCTTTTGCAGTTTCTGTAAACTCACAGCAGAGGTCATAGTAGCAAATAAAAGAAGATTATCTCAGCACTAGCTGCTCTTGGTGTACTCAATATTAAAGCTTACACTGTCATTTTTTTCACATAGGTTGTAAAAACAAATTGTCCATGTGCAACAGAATATTATAAGTGATTTCCAGATAACACATTTGCCTAATACATATTTGAATGCCTGACAAAAAGTATAGTTTTCTGAAGAGTTAAGGTCATGTTTAAATATAGGGCCTGATTTATTAAACAATATGAATGTAAACCAGGCCATCAATCATGCGGACAACCACGTCATATCCTCACAGTATTTACTATGTGCTCAGAAACACATTCACAGGCTACAGGTGTGTCTGACTGCTCGCAGGGATTTTACATGTGCAGGGAGTGTGAGTACTGCTGATTGGAGAGCAGTGGTTGTGACTATGCAAGGGAGGGGGTGTCCGACCACTGGAGATAATGCAGTCAGTTTGGGATGACACTGTAGTGTTATAAAATAAAAAAAAGTAAGACATATAAAACCTTAGAGCTGAACTTTAGGGAAAAGCTAACTACACAGAAGACTTACATATATTGTAGGTTGGTAGTTATTTTAATTGTCCATCCAGTCATGAGATTTACACAGCTCTGCCCTACAACACACCCTGTCTAGCAGGAGGGGAATCTTTTTATGCTGCAGTTTCACTTTCATTTACAAGTTCCCAGCTCTACCCTTTGACTGGGCAGTGAAAGGAGAAGTAGCAGACTGATAATCTAATTTCTCAGTCAGTCTGCTCTCTCATCTTATTAGCATAATGCTTGCACTGCAGCACATCTGATTCGCTTCTTGTGCTGCTTCTCCCTTCATGTCTCTGAGCTTTGCTGTACAGACTGTACAGAAGCCTGCAAGAGGCTGATACCAAGGCAAATTCAGGTGCTTACACTGCTTGCATTAAAACAATACATTTATTATGTATTATTGATTACAGAGCTCCATGCATTCATGTCTTTTGGATAGTATTGGCGTTCAGGTTTAAATAGTAATGCACCCTTACTTTGCCTTAATTTGAAAACACCAACCTGCCATTGGCCTCTTCCAAAAAGGTGAAACACTTTAACTTTTATTACTTTTACATTTTTCCTGTTAGACAACAGATGAACCATGGATTTGGGCTCATTTATTTATATACTTTGTCAAATCAGTCGTGTGTTTTGGGGCAGGTTACGCTCACACATTTATATTGTGCCTATATGAATCCTTTTACCCACGGCTTGAAGGGCACAAGACATATCAGGACTATTGTTTGAACACAAATATTGTAAATTATTTCATATAATTATTTCATATATAAAGTAAAAGAATGTGCTTATAATATAAATACATGCTGCAAACCCAAAGCAGCCAATCAGTTTGTGCAGTTAGATGTTGTTAGTTAAATGAAGGCTGATTTTCAGTCAGTTGCTATGACTTAGTAGTATTATTGATCTGTATTTTGGAACTTCAGTTGTACTGCATTTCTTTTCACAGAACTGGATTGTTTACTCCAGATAAAGCATTTGAAGCAATAGTGAAAAAGCAAATAGTAAAGCTTAAAGGACCAGCTCTGAAATGTGTTGACCTGGTGATGCAAGAGCTTCTAAATACTGTTAGGAAATGCACCTCAAAGGTAGACGTTTATCTATTCCTTATGTATATTGATTATATACTCAGTGGCTTGAAAAAATAGATATCACTTTTTAGAATCAGACTGGACTTCCTTTGGCCTCATAGTATCTGCAAAGTGTTTGAGGTGACTCCACAGGGGTCTTATAATGAAAAGTTCAAGGAGCAGTCCAGAATCACAGTGCTCTTCGGGGGAAGGTTGTTTGGCAGGGGGTGGTGTTGGTGTGCAGCTTCCTGTTTTTATGGACCGAGGTGTCCGATACTTGTGACAATAGAACAGAAAAAGGAGAGAAGGAAGCACTACGAACGGGCAAATGTGAGGGTGGCCTGGTAATTGCCGATGTAGAGGATTAAATTGATGGTGATGTAGAGGCAACAGAGGTGTTGTGCCTGCCGGCAGGCACAGCTCTTCTGTGGCCTCTACATCACCATCAAGTTAATCTGCTACATCAGCAATCAACCGAGGCCACCCTCACATTTGCCCAGGCGTAGCGCTTCCTTCTCTCCTTTTTCTGTTCTACTGTCACAAGGGTCATATAACCACCCCTATGTTGAAAACAACCACAAACATCAATGTAGAGACAGTGTAGCAAGAGACAGAAACAGTGTAGCAAGCCGAGTGGCTCAGTACCACATGGCTAATCACAACGACCACTAACATTCAAGTGTTTATTTTTCCAATTCCTATTACAACAGAAGAAGAGGAGGAATCTGAAGTAATTTTTGAATGAGATGCTGAAAACAAAGGTCAACATCAGCTGCTGATCCATTAATTAATTTTCACTGACTGTGAGACTTTTTTTTAGCCCCCTTTCCTCCTCTCCTACACATCATGTAGTCCATCTTGTCTCTCTCTAAGTGCAGAATATTAATCCCTCACCTCCCTTATCATGCCCATCTACACATTCACCCCTTTATCTCCATCCTGCCACTGTATGTGACATGGTCTTCACCTCCTGATCCCTCTGTCTACAATACTGTATCTGGTGCACCCACACCAAGTTCCATGTTTTAAACTCTTAAAGCCCAGCATGTTTTATCATTTTCAAATACTGTCCAAAAAGGTTTCCAAAAGTGGGTCATTTCAGGTGTTTTGGTACTGTTCTGACATTTTTATTTTAACAGAAAGTAAAGAAATTTCTTTTTTTTTTCCATAGTTAAAAAAAAAATGCTAATATAACCAAACAAATTCTATCTGTTTCATAAAATGTATTTGGATACATTGCTGCATGACAGAGTAATTGTCAGTCAAAATATCACAGCTCTGAAAACTGAAAAATGGCCTGGCAATGAAGTGGGTGATCATTCTTGGTTATCTGTTCTCATGCAAATCATGAAATCAGGGTTCTGTTAAATGTTTGTTTATTTAGTTGCACAAATATAAATGAAAAGGATAGGCCAATGTCTTCTATAGGGGAGGAATTTCTATGTTCTGGTATATGTGTATATTTTTAGAAGTGACTTAGTTATTTTCTTGCTGGTGCAGTAGGTGCTTATTTTATGGGGCATTTTAAGACAACTTTTTGGCTATCATCTCATTAGCATCACATCAATTTCTCTTGATTTGCAAGATAATAAAATTGAGTGTTAAGCCCAACCTTAAAATGCCTTGACCAAAAGTTCTAGTGGTTCTTTATACAGACCGTCTTCAGCAAATTCCACAGGTTCCTGATTTTTCATTTAGGGTACCGTTTTAGTTTTAGAAAGTAGGTGAAACATCAACCATTGGATAAATATTGTGTATCTTATTTTTATATTTTTAATTTCAGCTTTCTGATTATCCAAGGCTTCGAGATGAAACAGAAAGAATTGTAGCGCTAAACATACGGGAAAGAGAGGGGAAGACCAAAGAACAGGTATGTATACATACAATACAATGAGGGGAATATAATAAAACTGGAGCAGATCAAATCTGGAGCAGTTGTCCATGGCAACCAATCAGCCTCTAGCGTTTATTTTTAACGTTTAACTGAACAATCTGAAGAGAGAAGCTGATTAGTTACCATGCACAGCTGCTCCAGATTCTGTCTGATCTAGTTTTAGTAAATTTCTCCCAATGTTTTTATATGTGGGAAACACTTAGAAATACTGGGTATTGTCCATCCTAGCCAAGTCATATCCTCGCCTTTATTCTAAACCTGCCTAACAATTAAATGGGCAGCTTGGAAGTCTGAACCTCCCTTTTGTCACTGACATCTTCATTTGCTTCCATATTACTATGCAAGTTGAGTATTCAGTATTAAACATCACTGTTTATTTTATGATTGTATCTGTTGGACTTATGTTTCAAGGGATTTCAATGGAACCAGATATAAACCAAAGTTTATATTTGGATGCCAAATAGGAGCTATGGAACCTACTAATCCTAAAGCTGAATTGAAATATTTCCATTTTATGTGACAATTTGAGATATCTGTATATATTTAAATCTGTTGTAATATATGCCTAATTTCTGTTTCTCATTAGTGCTGTGAGTACATTTGCTCATACTTGATGGAAATCTGCTAATTTTTTTATGTAATATTGTTGACAAGTAAATAGTGCAGGCAGCTGAGCCATACAAAAACAGAGAAAACTCTGCAAGCCTTGTCCCATAGAGATATCATTCTCAGCTTCATCCACTAGATGGTGCTCAGCATATAGCAAATATATGAACTGCAGTACAATAATAATGATGCATGTGAGCTCCAGGGATGCTGTAACTCACATAACTCCATCTCCTCATCTACGAAGAGGAAAGCCAGGATTGATACAACAGATAGCTAATTTTTCTGGTTGTTGAGTTTGTAAGTGATAGAGAATTTCTATTTCTAAAGTGTAATGTTGTTCGTTGTTACATATCAAATATATGTGTAATCTCATCATAATCTTTTAATCAGGGCTATAATTTACTTGATAAACTCCTGATTATTATGTGTTGTGTTTTTTGTAGGTTTTGCTGATAATTGATATACAATTATCCTATATTAATACCAACCATGAGGACTTCATTGGCTTTGCTTAGTAAGTTAACATGTAGTATTCAAAAGTGCTCACAAACATGACCTACTACATATCACTATTGTTAGGGCAGAACGGAGAGTGGCAAGACTGGTACAAGGCAACAGAAGGGCAACAGTGCAGTGTCAGATTCCTCGCATCACCTTTTCAACATCTTGTCGAGGCGGCCCAGCGAAGTCATCTCGTGGAGTCATCTCATGGCCCAACGAAGTACTGATGGGGTGGTCATAATAATCTGGCCACTCAGTGTGAACTGTGATTGGAGGAGAGGGTCTCCGTCCAGGTTTTTTTTTTTCTATTTTTGTTCACTTAATAATTTCAATAGCGATCCGTTGGCTTTGGAGCTCTGAAACCAGCAGCCTGCTGAGCACATTTGTAAGGCACATTGCTGTGTAGTGGTATGGCTGCAGTAAGGCCATACCACTGCTTTATAAATTGGGCCCTTAGTGCACAAAGCACGGTGGGCTTTTTTTTGGCCACCTTCACAGAATCAGTAAGATGTTTACAATGGATACAAAACAACCCTTTACAGTTCTCCTGTGATTGCATGTAAATTCTACATTTCTGTCGAATCTGTAATGATTAATTAAAGCCACACTACAGTCACCTAAAAAAATCACTATTGCCCTGCACTTCTATGAAATCTAAGTTCTAGTACACACCTTAATACTTACCCTAATCCATAGTCCTGTGGCAGAACCAGTCCTCGGATCTTTAGTGATGGAATATGGGTGGGTACTTCTAGCAGCGCCCACATTCCATCTTATTGATGTGGACGCTGGGACTAAACTAATTACAGTGCAGAAGTAATGATGTTAACAAGAGGGGAGGCAATAAGTCCAGTCAGAAACTAGTGTTCAGAGAGGATTCACTAGATCAGTCTTTGCAACAGAAACCAGCAGGGTAGTAAATCAAGAGACTATGGATTGAGGTCAGTATAAGTGGCTGGTAGAATTTTTATTTAAAAATGGCCATAGTTGTGTTTTAAGATTTTGGCATGTTTAACAGAAACATGAAGAAGGACTGTTATGCTAAACATTTCTTATTATTGTGATGTGAATATAAACAGTTGGTCTCTATGAAGAGTTGAATAAACAATGTAGCAAATGACTGTCAGTGATTTCATGTTTTTTCATTTGTTAGTGCACAGCAAAGATGTAGCCAGCAGAAGAAGACTTCAATGGGCAACCAGGTAGGTAGATTATTTTTTTCTAATAATGGTCTGGTAATGGTTCTTTTTATTGTCACATGGGTCTTTAATGAAACCTGTAATTAGAAAATACTGAGGAGGCAATTACTGATCTCTCCTTCTAAAATGCTAGCTGCCTAACTGTTAGGCTGATTCAATTGCTTTCATAGACCTGGAACAAGTATGCAGATCAGCAATTCTGACCTTTTTAATCTGAATTTTTTTCTTAATCTGTGACTGAAAAGCTATTAAATCTAGGAATGGCCAGGCAACTTGCATTTTTAGCAGGAGGTCAGAGCTGAAAGCCTCTCCATCAATATAGATTACCTTTGAATATTTTATGTGTAGATATTTGAAAAATCTGGTCTACCAATGATTCACACAATTCATGATTAGCTTTGTGTGTATCTGAAGCAAATTACTCCCACATTATTATGTTTTAGTTCTTCCTTTTAATGCGGTAACCCAGATTTAAATAAAATATTTTGTGATTCTGTTGCCAGCCTATCTGTACTTCAGCAGGAGTGTTCTCTAAGCATAGAGTGATTTTCTCTGCCACTTGTTGTTTGATCCAGCAGGGGATTGTAGAGTGTTATCATTCTGTGGTATGGATGTTTAATGACCCAGCCAATCAGCAGGTTTTGGAGGCCTGGTGATGCATGCTGGGAGAAGTTTTTTGTAAAATGCTGTACAAACTGTTGGCGCTATATAAATCCTGCATAATAATAATAACTATTAAATGGCTGGGGCACTTCATTCGGCCAGATCCTTCGGCAGCTTTGTGAATAGACCCCTTTGTCTCTACCCTCATGGGCTTCTTCCCTGTGAAGATGTCACCATAAGAAGATATGTCCCTCTCCCCAGACATTCGGGCCTAGGCGTTGGAAGGATGCAGGGATCTCCCTTCCTGGGAGGTATTCCTAAAGTTGCTGGAGCCAGGAGTGCAAGGCCTAGAGGAAACGAGATGCATATGGAATTGTAGTGAATTACTGGTTCAGTGGAAAGTATACCCAGGGACCTTTGTATGTTGTCCTGTGTTGGCACACTAAGACTTAGATACCACTTGGAGCTCAGTTGTCAATGAGCCAGAGCTCCACAAGAGTCCAGGCAACATAGTTTGTTTACAATTGTACAGAAAGAGACCTAAACAAGATTTGGAAGAGAGTAAAGCGTGGTCTGAAGTTGCATTTTGCAATTAAAGTGTTAATATTTTAAGCTTACTAAAGTTACTGGCACCCATCTTTTTACGTCTGGGATCTTATTACCATGTAAGAGTGCTTAGGACATTCATAATGTAGCTGTTAGCTGAATATCAATAATTACTGAGAATCAGTCAGAAATGTAATTTATTTATTATAGTTGGACCCTTCCTTCAATGCACTGTGGCATTCAGGACATTGTCGTTAGTAAACCAGTGAAGAAGGTGATATGATACACTGAGTACATTATCAGGTTTTAGGACTACAGCACGTGACCTGACTAAACAGTTATGTTTGGCTATATACATATAATGTCACAAAGAAAGAACTGCGGTACAACACGTTTAAAGTATGTGTATAGCCAAAACAGAAGGAAACAGTTAAAACACCTCTCAGTTTATTTTTTCTGTCTGCCTCCCCTTGGGGAGATTTTTAGATTACTTCCTGTCATGGAGACGCAACAGAAAGTGAGAGAACATTTCTCCAAAGTAAGGGGATAACTCTTTTAGACAGCTGTCAACAGAACATTATCAAATTTATCATCACCTCTTGTTCTGGTGACAACAGTAAAATGTTGCGTTTTCTGTCATTTTCTGCTTTGTTGACGATGGTCACCAAGACCATGAGAAAGGATTAAAAACTCCCCAGACAAAAATGAAAACTTGATTAAGAGTTATAACACTTATAACACTCTATCAAAGATTTTTCTTTACATACATTTTGGGTTGAGTCTGTGCTCTGCTTTTACTCGGCAAAGTAACCACTTTACCCTAAATCATGTACTTCCGCTGGACCACCAGCCAGCCTGAGATTCCTGTGTAGGTTTCTTCCTCAGCAGTGTAACATTGCACAGTGTACTTGTGCACAATGTGATATTTCTTATTTAACTTTCAGACGGGTCAACGTCCTCTCTTATTTCTCGGCCTCGCCATCATAATGCCGTCATAGTGACTTGTAAACTGGTTCCCACATTAACATTTGCTCCATAGACAAACATCTCAAAGATAGAATTGCAGTAAAAGGAAAAAAAACACACATTTAAGTATTTGAATTATAGCAGACCTTTACCCCATTTCACTAAAAATCACATCAGCATTCAGCTCTGCATGCTGATATGAAATCTTACATTCATTAGTTAAACAAACATATTTTTATTTTACTTACAATTACTGTCTTTCTACATCCTGGTTCTCTTTTGCACAAATCATGTAATCGTGCCCAGGGAAGGTTACATCAGTAAGTGCATCCTGGGAAGGTTACATCAGCAGAACAGTGCTGGGAAATCTCATCTGTAATCTCATGATATCTCAGGGAAAGACATTTTCCACCCCTGAGATAATGTGCATCGTCACATGTCCTAGTCACATGTACCAGAGTTCCAGGAAGTAAAGGGAGATATATTAATCCGCCCTTAGTAAAAATGGCCAATGTGAATAGACTGGGAAGAAAAGAGAAATAAGGTACAGAAAGAATACAAAGCCGGCAATTATCTAGAAGTATGTGTTTGTAGATTGTCATTACTAAACACTTCTAAAGGTGTGTTTGTTGTCATTTCAAAGATATGGGTAAAGTTTCTCTTTCATTTCTATTTTGTTGTCAAGCAACTGTGGAGCTTGTCCTTTCTAAGAGCTTGTCACTGTTCTTTTTTAATTATTTTATTTCTCTTTTACTTGCTTTAGGATTTAAATAAAGTGTCTTCAACTTGCCTAAAGTAAGTAACTGGGCCACTGTCAAATGTCCCAACTGCCAAAAAGCAATCAGATTGGAAATACACAATGAAACATAATTGTTATATCGGATTGGGTGTCTTATTTATATGTTTTTTTTTCTCTTTGGGTCTAAATTTCTTAGACCTGGAATAATATCTGCCAGCTAAGTTATGTAGTGCAGTTTAATAATTTGCTGATTTATGATCATGTGAGGGCATGAGGTAAAGAGATAAGAAATAATATATATAAATAAAGAGTATGAACATTTTTTGCTGAACTGACTTAAAACCACTTTGATTACTGTTTCTATCAAGCTGAAATGTATATAACTGTTCCCTCTGTCTGTCATTGAATATACAATAGTTTTTAAAGCTGACATTTAATCTGCTTAGGTTTTGTTTTCCCCAGCCCCTCCCTCAGCCCGGATGGGAGGAGTTATGCAAATATCATAATGTCTTAATAGGTAGATATCGGTCTAGGCCACTCCTAGACAGACTGCATTTACATGCAGATCACCTCCGCTACACCCACATGTGACACTGAGCCTCCAAGGTTGAACAAACTGAAATCCAATAAATGAGAGGGGCGGGTCAGGGACAATATGGCTGGGGAGCAATGTGTTAGATGATGCTGGATGTTCTTCAGTCAGGAAATAAGGCAGACTCTATCTGACTTGCTGCAGCTTCTAATGCCCATTGTAAGAAGCTAACAGTGTGCAGTGAAATCAGAGAAAGCAATTTCAGTGCAGGAGAGGAGCCTGTACAACTGGGCAAGACTGAAGGTAGGGCTGGCGTTCAGCATTAAAAGTAAATTTCAGACTAAACCTTAAATGTTGAAACGTATACAGAATAAACAAATTGCCTGTTCAGAACTACAGTTTGTCATAAAGTCAATATTGTATTGCACCAGGCCCCTTTGCCAATAACATTTCCCCATACATAAGCTGTTCTCAGGTCACTAAACTAATGATAAAAGGAAGTTGATGGGCCGTTGTAGTGTGGCAATACCTGGATGGGACAATTAAATATGGAGAAGGTAACACATTCCAAGTCCCGTCTGCACTCCTACGGTCTTATAATTCAAAAAGGCATGTGTGGTGCTCAGGGTGACCGCACGGATGGCGCCGTGCAAACATCAATGATAAGTTCAAACATGTCACCGCCACACACTCAGGGAATCAAATATCAAAAGCCCAGTATGACAAGGAAGCTCATGTCGCTCTGAGGAAGGATCCCTGCGTGGACCCGAAACGTCAGCACTTTATGATGCTATGTGACATTTATGCACTTTATTAAATAGGTTGGGATTTTGATATTTGATTCCCTTAGTGTGTGCCGGTAAGATGTTTTAACTTATCAATATGGAGAAGGTAGACCGTGTTTCCTTTATGTTCCAAAACCTAAAACAATAGTATGGAGACTTAATAGGTAATACTGGAACTGATATAAAACCAGATGAAAGGAATCTTGCTTGTGTCAACCAGTATCAATTATTCAGTTCTTAGCTAAACCATCAAAGCATCAACTGGTTTGTTGGCCTGAACCGCACACCTTTTTTCTACCCAGATTTAAAAAATGTAGAGGTGTTGGATTCAAATTTTGAGGTAGTAGGTAAGAGGTCTTTGTTTAGGCCAAATATGCTAGGTTTGGCAGCTTTCCACAAAGTGGGGTTCTGCCTGGCCATAGGGGTCACCAGGCTTGGGTAGACTATGTATAGTTGAACCAGAAGGAGTGCCAAACACACATATTGAGCGTCCAGGAATGTTTTTCGTTGGTTCAGCAAATGACAAAAGGATAACAAAGGGCAGCCAATGTGTTTTGGGGGCCAATCAACCCCCCTTTTTCAGGGCTTTGGCAATTGTCACAGTGACTAAAATCTAAGGGGACTATTCACTAAGCTGCCGCAGGCAGCCGAGTGAATGACCGACCTAAAGCGAAGTGAGCCGAACGCTGTTCGGCTATTCACTTGAGGCTGGTATGGCTGATTTCAGCCGTATATCGGCTGAAATCAGCCGTTCATCGGGTGGCTTCGGGTCGGCATCGGGTTGGCCGAACATGCTGTTTGGAGTTCAGCGTCCCTGGTTAGCTGGTAACCAGGGACGCTGATCGCTCTGCAAGTGGCCGGAGCCAGCCGTAAGATCACGCCAGCTTCGGCTCGACTGAGCCGCTCGGCCACGTTCAGGAGCTGTACGGGCTATAGTGAATAGCCCTACAGCAGCCCTTCGGTCCGACTGAACCGAAGGGGTCCTGGGGCCAAAGCTAGCCGAAGGATCGGCCGAAGCTACGGCCAGATCCTTCGGCAGCTTTGTGAATAGACCCCTAAGAGCCTGTGTATAGCAATCAGAGCGAGTAGGATAAATAGTAAATGGATTAACTGCCATGTTGTACCCACTTACTAGTTTTCCTTCTGGTACTGATTGTTATACCCAGGTTCTAAGCTTTGAGTCCAATAGATACAGTGACTGTTGTTAAAGCCCTAAAGAAAGGGGATTTTTTTGGCCCCTGAAGCGCATTGACCTTGTTATCCTTTTGCCCTTTATTGTAAAGTCATCTGCACTATCTGGCACATGCTGATTCTCCCAGAGGGCTCTCACTGCTTCCACTATTGGGAGTTTCAAAGGAGTTAAAAAAGGCAATGTTATGCTTTGTGGAGCCGCAGGAGCAGGTGTTTGTATGCATTCAAAGTTATTGCATATGGTTTACCAAGGAGGCTATTTATAATGGAGAGAGGACATCACAGTGTTTACTTCACAATGCACCTGCATTTTATGAACACTTCTTGATAGGAGAAAAGCTGGGTCACATGAGTTTCACAGGTCATGCATCCGGTCTCTTCTCCTCCTGACACTTTTTTGTTTCCTTTACTATTCACCAAGATGGATTTCAAAGCAAGAGAAGTAGAGAGAACATTTGTAAAGCACACCATTGCTTCAAATGGGCCTCTTGGACAGGACTGGACAAATCCCAGGAGCCAGATGCTTCCTAAAATGTACAGCTGGTGCCTAATTTTTGTTTTCTCTTGTTGTCAATAAAGGTGGCTCATAAAAAAAATCCTGCTGGCTCCTGGATTAGCTCCAGGCTGGCTTCTGAATTATATATTACATGTGCAGCCCTGCTCTAAGTTTTATTTAATCATTTGAGGTTTTTTTTTACAGTCACCTTTAACACAGTTGTATTCCTACATGGTGTGAGCATTTATGGTTGAATCTGTTTTTATTGAACAAAACAAAAGACATACAATAAAGGAACAAACAAAAAGAGATGATCACAACTACAACATTGTCAGGATTATTCACAAAAGGGTGAAGAGTTTGGAGAAGGCAGGAGAAATTAACAATTTAGGCCAAAATTGCTGGTATGGAAAAATTCTCCAATTCTGCTCACTTTCCAGTTCAGCTTTGTTGTCCTAGATTGTTCGCTTCTCCTGTCTTCTCACCCTTTAGTGAATAACCCTAAATATCAGAAAAAGAAGATATCAGGTAATAGTGAGCCCAGGTGTCCAGACTCATTACGTATAACCAGAACATGGTGTGCACATTTAAACATGTTGACAGTGGTTTGATAGACACTGAAACATAGGAAACAATCCCAGTGAGGATACTAAAACATACATTCAGTAGCTAACCACACGTGTTAGTAAGGCTAGCGTTTATCGCAAGCGCATAGTAGATACCTAGAGGATAGGATTTGGTTGTCAGCATAATCAATGTTCCATTTTAAGTACATATCCTATTGTAAATCAGCCCTCACGCTTACAAGAGTTTTTTTACTTTATATGTGAGAGCAAAAAAACGTTTACACTTTATGTGAACAGTTACTTTGACATTTGGGAAGAACTGAAAAACTCCTATCCACAGCTATTTCCACTCTACGGTTCTCTTTAGTGAGTCCAAAATGACTGAGCACGCTGTACTACATTGTCTATGTGACGTGTTAGTCTGTAATTGAATGATGATGTATTCTCACCCACTTAACCAGTGTTAATGCTTGCTCTGTATGCACACTGTCTTCTGTGCCTATGTCAGAATACCTCCCAGTAAAGGAAATGTATAGCCACTTAGGGGGCCCAAATCCTCCCTACAAGAATTTGTGGAGCTAATATAAAATGTATGTAAAAGTGCTATTATTAACTTTCACAAATATGTAAGCAAAAGTATGTGTTTCGTGTGGCTTCGGGTCAGAGGTACCGAGCAGAACAGAAAAAGAGTGAAAAAAGTTAATGGAAAACGATTGTGCGGAGCTAGCAGTGACCGAGCCGCTCGGCCATGATCGGGAGCTGTACGGGCTATTGTGAATAGCCGGTACAGCAGCCTTTCGGTTCTACTGAACCGAAGGGGTCCTGGGGACGAAGCTAGCCGAAGGATCGGCCGAAGCTACGGCCAGATCCCTCGGCAGCTTCGTGAATAGACCCATATGTGTCTAAAAGCGCCTTCCATGAATTTGGTTTTGCTTCCTCAAACATTTTAAACTAAAGCAGCAATTGGCAGGATTTCTCTGTGGGAATTGCTGGACAGGATGTCTGTGCTACATAGACAAATCTTCCCCATAATAGTTCTACTGTATAAACCAGCTTTTCCCAACCAGGGTGCTGCGGCACTCTGGGGTGCCTTCCTCAGGGGTGCCTTGAACTTTTTGCAAAGGAGCATGCCTTTCAAAGGAGCTGCTGATGTGAAAGGGGGACTCTAATGTGAAAGTGGGGATTCTGATATGAAATGAAAGTGCTTCTGAAAAAGTGGCTTCTGATGTGAATCGGGGACTCTGATGTAAAGGGGGGACTCTGATGTGAAAGTGGTGATTCTGATATGAAAGGGGGGGCTCCTGATGTGAAGGGGGCTCCTATTGAAAAGGGAGTCTAAGATGTAAAAGGCATGATTTTGATATGAAGGGGGGGGGGGAACCCCACTTTTTTTTTTTGCATAGGGTCCCTCCTTAAAATCCATACCAGACCATTATCTGGGATAAGGGTTTGGTATGGATCTTGGAGTGGCTACATGTTATTCATGTTATTTTTTACATTTGACAGTTAATTTAGACTGTAGTGCTGAAAAGGAGCAGGATGGAAAATGAATGAATTTCTAACAGTGAATGCAGCTTTTGTTTGAGAACTCCTTCCATTCCAAAATCGATTGTTAAAGTCAAACAGAATTTCGATTGACATTTGTCATCTTTCTGATGGCATTATCAAATGTTCTTACCATAATTTTGGATGATGTTTCGTTTGAAAATCTACCAGTATATGGTTAGCTTAACAATCCAGGCCTGATATACCAAAGTATGGAGTGTGGTGATGTGAAACTGGGCCTGATTTATTAAGGGCACATTCACACCATAGTGATGTGTTATTCGCGCAATACCGTGCGATTATTGCATAACACACCTAGCATGCCTTACCGTGCGCTAGATGCCTTGCATTGTCATTCATTTGAATAGCACCCTAAGGCACCTCCCGGCCACTGTTTGCATTGTGCTGTGATGTAAGGAAAGTAATGCATGCCATATTATTTTTCATCGCAAAGCACGGTAATGCGGTACTTTGCAGCACATAGTGGCCGTGAGGTGCATTGAGTGCCATTTGAAGGAAGGCATCATGCGACTAAGGCAACGCTTAGTGTGAATGGGCCCTAAAGCAGAACCTTTTCTTCTCACAGAAGTAAACAATCATCTTTAAGCAGCAGTGCAGCTAACACCGCCTAGATAGAACCAAAAAACATTTTTTTTTAAATCAAATTTTTTTTAAAGCCGAACTTCAGGCACACGGATAAATAAACATGTTGAAGTACCTATATGAGAGCAATTTTTTCTGTCAAATTGAATTGTAGTTCTGTCCATCTGTTCCTAAGATTTATACAGTTCTGACAAATAGCACAGTCCTGTTTTTACACTTGCATGTCTCCTTCTTACCCCCAGCCTGTGACTGGATAGTGAAAGAAGAAGCAGCAGACTGATGAGCTCATCTCTATCATTCTGCGTTATGATCCTATCAGTATGCTCTTTGCACTACAACACACTTTATTGGCTCCTTGTGCTACTCGTTCCTCCCTCTCTGGGCTCTGGTTTACAGGGACTGCTAAAGGCTGATACCAAGTCAAATTTATGCAGTAACACTTGCCTATATTTACAAAATACCTTTAGGGATGAATGAATGATTACGGAGCTACACATTATTTGTGCCTTTTATATCTGTCTGGCTTAGCTGCTGTATGTTTGGATGCTGGAGTGTACTTTCTATAGCAGACCACTTGGTTAATGCATTTTGTGTATATTCGCTGTAGCCTGCACACATTCACGCACATTGAGGATAAATAATGAATTTATTGAGCATAGGATTTGTTTTGTCATGCAGCATGGATGCACAAATATACACAAATGCATTAACAAAACGCTCACTGTGATTATTAAAGCTGGACTCCAACCTTACTTTCAGTCTTGCACAGTTGTACAGGCTCTTCTCCTGGACTGGACTGGAGTTGCTTACTCTGATTTCACTGCACAATGTGAGCTTCTCACAGCATAGAATCTGGAGAGTGTCAGATAGAGATCACCTCATCTCCTGGCTGGAGGGCTTCCAGTATTATCTAGCTCCTCCCTCCCCAGCCTTCCTGTCCCTAACCTGCCCCTTATATTCATTGGATTTAAGTTATTTCAATAATGGACGCTCAGCAATACATCTGGGCATTACCACAGCTATGTGCAGCCCCTCCCACCAGCCAGCTTTGCATAGAGAAGCACAGAGACCGAATGTTGAATTCACTGGGTCTAAAATACTGCAATGTATGTAATCAAAACAGGTTTTATTTAGGAACATAATTACTATGTTGATGAGGGGGAAAGTGTGGAACCAGACAAGCATGTTTCATGTTACACCCTAAATTTGCACAAACATGGCCTAAAACGGATAGGGAACCTTGGCACTCCATATGTTTTGGAACTACAGGTTCCATAAGGCAGTGAAAGAATGACAGCCACAGGCATGACTCCCAGAAGCAGAGGCATGATGGCATTTGTAGTTTAAGCACAGCTAGAGTGCCAAGGTTGCCTTCCCCTGGTCTAAAAGATAAGATAAACGTAGCCTTCAAATTTCTAAGTATGACTAAGTAAAACTAACCAGAGTAATTCCATATACATTTGCTAATCTAGCTTATGACTGCTGGAATTAGCAATGTTTCCATATTTATGAAAGAATTCATGTCTAATGGAAGAAACAGAGTGAGACTTGAGGTTGTATCTGGCCATGAATAGTATGTGTCCTATGTTATATTTGCCATTATCAGTCTCTGAATGACAAAACCGAAAGATTGTTCTAGTGTCAGAAATGACTCTAACCTCAGGCTCCCTCCTCCAGTTATGAGGTTGTGGATATTTGGAGTATGTAACATGCACATATATGAGTTTTCCTAAAAGTGAGCTAAGTGCTTTCTTTGTCATTATAAATCACTGCAATGCCTTACTGTAATTGTAAGAAGCACTCAGAACAGCTTCCAGTATAATTCCTGACTCTGTACTCTTTTTACTATTCACTTTTGTGCTAAATTGTTGTAGACATCAGTATTTTTTCGGTGGTCTTTTTTTTTTTAACTCATGGGTTGGTTCAGTGTGGTTAGGTACTAATTAGTGGGTTGCTTTATATTTTGTGCAGCACTTCGATGAAGACACTGGAATCTGAAGACCTCCCACGAGCTGCCCTCAATCGTGTATTCTGTGTGGTGAGATACAAATTCATGAGATTGGGATGCCAATAGATTCTTTTTCCTTTTTTTTTCTTACAGATTTTTTTTGTGTGTGTATTTGAAATGTACTATGTGGTTTCCACAGGGTTGCTGGGCTTAATCCATATAACAGAATATGTCGCATTGGCCAATGGGGGGCCTATTCACTTCAGTGTGCTATTCCACAATGCACCTAACATGTGGTACCATGCGCTAGATGCATTGCATTGCTATTGATTTCAGTGGCACCCAATGCACCTCCCAGCAGCTGTTTGTTGCAGTACAGTGCGTGGTACTGCAATACCTTGTGTTGCGGGATGGTGGTAAAACGCAGTGCATGTGCTACTTTTTCTCATTGCAGCACATGATATTGCAGTACTGTGGGTTGCACTGCACAGCAACGCATGGTCACCAGGAGGTGCGTTGGGGTGCCATTCGAATGAATGGCAGCACAGCCAGCACATAGTCCTGCATACTAGGTGCATTGTGCAACAGTGTACACCAAACACACGGTAACATGCAATTAGCACAATGCTCTGGTGTGATATGGGCCCTACATGACAGTACTTGATGTAGTTCTAAAGTGAACTTCACAAATATTTGTAGAGCAGAGGCTACAGTCTGAACTCGAAGCTACTAGCTAAATACACAGATGGCATGTGTATATGGGAATTGTGTAATCTGGTAAAGCATGTTTACGCCTGTGGAGTTATGCTCACTAGTTATTCCAGTGATTTTTACAGCTCTACCATACAGTAAAGACAGGTTGGTGACCTGACTTTTTCTCTACTGCAGTTATAGTAATACAGCCTATTTAACTCCCTACACCCCACACACACCAGTGATTGGATATGCTCATCACTGCTTCCACTATCTGCAGGCTTGACCCTTCCTCTTCTAGTACTGTTGTACAGGGGTATATAAGAGGCTGATACCAAGCCAAATTTAAGTAGTTACACTGGTTGCGTTTGAAATCCATGTCATGTTTTTTTTAATGAATACATAACTGCATTGAAGAGACACTAAAATCAGGAGGTAAATCTTAAATTTGCTTTCAAGTACCTTAACTATGAACTAAAATATCTCTTATTTGTGTATCACTCGGCTGTAGATCCTCAAATCATCCCTGAATTGGTGCTCACACTGTTCTTCCTTCTGGAGGGGGGCTACTTTTCTTCCCCATGGTCCCTGTGTGTGTTGTAAAGTAGCCGCCGCTCCAAGCTCACTCCAATGATGGACTGCAATCTCAATACAAATGAGTAAACTAAACGTGAGATTGCAATCCATCATGGGAGCGAGCTTGGAGCGGTGGGTACTTTACAACACACACAGGGACCATGAGTAACAGAAGTAGCCACACTCCAGAAGGAAGGACAGTGTCAGTACCAATTCAGAGATGATTTGAGGATCTACAGCCGAGTGATACACAAATAAGATACAGTTTTTTTAATAGTTAGGGTACTTGAATGCATTTTTAAGATTTAACTCTTGAGTTTAGTGTTTTGTTCAGACATCATTTGCGCATCAGTGAAATAGTTGACTAATAGTATTCCGGAAAATTGGTGTTACAATTGGCCTATAATGCATATGTAATTATAAATTATAGGATGAATGCCACAAAACTGCTTTGCTTATATTGCTGGAAAACTTCAGTGATGGTGGGCATATGTGAGAAGAATTTTTAAGGCTGCATAGTGAAGGAGCGATTTGTTACAGAATAGCTATGCAAGTTCCAGATGTTTCCAGATAGACAATCAGTGTATATGTTGATCTGTTGATCCATAGTTGTATTAGATCTAATAGAGGTGTTATATGTGAAATACCAGACTGTAGTAAAAGTTGCTTGCTGATGTGACCACAGATTCTCTGTGATAAAAGGGACACAACTACCGGTATGTTATTTTAACAATAGCAACAGCATTTTTAGAAAATCATATTTTCCTGTTGACCTGTTGTTCAGGGAAAGGGAGGGAGATGGGTGTTTTTACAAGCGTAAGTAATCTTTCAAAGTCACTTCCTTCTGTTACTCTATTAATACAGAGACTGCAGGAATTGTGACTAGGACAGTATGCAACCAAAGTGAGTCCTGTAAAGCATAGCGGGAAGGAACTGTGTCATCCTTCATTCATCCTGTCAAGTATGCCCTGCTGACAGCTACAATATTATCTCCTATCCATGCTACTGCTACACATGTTTCCCTTCTTCCTGATCTGTTTTAATCCATGCCAGCAATATCCAAAGCTGCTTGGTGGCTAACTATCACTGAGGCAATAAGGCTGTGAGAGACAAAACAAAAGCTTTGTTAATTTTTATCTGACTAATAGGATCATTATGATGGAGGAGTCATTATCATTTACATTATGTCTCCTGTTTCGGTAGTCCATGCCACATAGTGTGGAATCAGACTTTCCCTAAACTTCATGTAGTAATTCTCCAATCCTACATTTTACAATGCCTCCACATGATAAGGGATAAGTCCACTATAAATGAAAATTTGGGGGTCAATGTCAGAGGGTTGAAGTACCTGCTGACTTCTTATATCTCAGAAAAGATTTCCGCTCTGTAGATCATTTCTCTGTCCCACTGCTAAGCCCATTCCAAGGGTGGCACACTCCTGCTCCTGACATCTCCATATTGTCTTGTATTGTATTGATTGATGTGGATACAAGCAGGAGTAGGACACTTTTCAGAAACATTGGGGCCAGTGCTGTTACAACAGTGAACAACTTCCATGTCATTTTGCACTTAAGAGCTTTCTTACTCTAAATTAATATTGGCATGTTTTTCACCACTATTTTCACTAGGAATGTACAGATACTTTTCAAGTACCAGTGCAGATACTTGGCATTTTCATGAGAACTACCAGGGTTGCAGCGATTGCAGCTGGGACCTGGCTCTGGCGCTCCACCACTGTCCTGAAATCATCAGTCTGTATTGTTTTAGAAAAACTGTCACATGACAATAAGCAAAAATGTATCAGTACTCGTACTAGTAAGTACTCGGCAAGTACCAGTACTCGTACTCGCAAAACTGGTATCTGTGTATCCCTTTATTTATATTTATAAAAACAAAATCATACATTAAAACAGAGATGTACAAATCCCAGGAGCTCCGTGTGCTCCTTACAAATGACAGCTGCCTCCTAATTTCTGAATTTTTCTCTAGTGTAGTCTTGGAGCTCAAAAGTATCGGTACATGTACTTGTACTTGTACCGAGTACTGTACTTGGTATCTGTGCAACCCTCATTTTCACTGACTGGCTGATCCTTTGGCTAGCTTCGGCCCCAGGACCCCTTCGGTTCAGTAGAACCGAAGGGCTGCTGTACGGGCTATTCACTATAGCCCGTACAGCTCCCGAAGTCAGCCTAGTGGCTCAGTCAAGCCGAAGGCATATGCTTCGGCTCGACTGAGCCGAGGTGAAAGCCGAAGCTGGGCGGAGCCAGCCGTCATCTCACGGCTGGCTCCGGCTACTTGCACAGACAGATCAGCGTCCCTGGTTACCAAGTAACCAGGGACGCTGATCTCCATACAGCCCAACTCTCCCGGACGCTCCAGGAGTCTCCCGCTATTAGATAGCTGCTCCCAGTTGCCCGGGAGAGAAACACCCTCTCCTGGAAAGTTTTACTCTGCTCAATCGTGCAGGGTAAACCTTTCCCTGCTCTGTTTTCTTTTATTTTTTTCTTCTGACATCGGAGCTGTTGGCTGCCGTCAGAATAAAAAAAAAAATCACCATAGCTACATTCCTATTGGCTATTTCAATTTGCAATAGCCAATAGCAAACTAACTATTGCACCCGCCCACTGCTGCTGTCAATCAGCAGAGGAGACCTGAAGTTCTCCATCAGGTCCCCTTTTAGTGATTGACAGCAGCAGAGGGCGGGTGCAATAGCTAGTTTGCTATTGGCTATTGCAAAGTGAAATAGCCAATAGGAATCTAGCTATGCATTCCTATTGTGATTTTTTTTTTTGACGGCAGCAGAACCGCCCAGCCAATAGAAAAGAGTTGGGCGGAGCTAGCTGTCACTGCAAGCTCCGCCAATTAGTTTTTTTTTCTATTTTATTGTTTTTACTTTTTTAACAGTTTTTCTATTCTGCTGAGCATGTTCAGCCGACCCGAAGCAAGCCGATGTACAGCTGATTTCAGCCGATATAGCCGAACAGCGTTCAGCTCACTTCACTTCAGATGGGTTATTCACTCGGCTGCCTACGGCAGCATAGTGAATAGATCCCTTAATGTTTAGTAATGTACATCAATAATTTTCTTTTAAAGCCCCATTTAAATCTCAGGTGTAGAAATGGAAGAGAACCCTCCGCACACCTTACAGCAGTCCCGGCCAATTTAGGATGATGGTGCTCGAAGTGACCAAATCACGGATGGCACCGCGCAAACACAAAGCAAAAAGGTAAAAAGTCACCAGCACTCGATTTTTTGAAAGTGAATATGTCCCTTTATTGGACAAAAGACGTCATAGGGGAGCCGACGTTTCGGGGCCACACACGGTCCCTTCTTCAAGGCAGAAAGTATGACAAAGAAATAATCAAACAACCCACACATATATACCCCCTGGTAAGAAGAAGAAATTCAGGACCCTCGATCAACACGAGACAACAAAAATTCAGGAATGCCCGATAATTAATTTATCACCAGAATTATTTCTGATAGCGAAAACCAAGTCCTTAGTAAGGGACTTTCATTTTGCCCCTCACCACAGTTCAATGATTTTCAATTTGAAATTGATACTTTTAAATTAGAACATTCCCTGAAATTAAAGCAGTACTTTGGTCATCTAACAAATGTTAAAGATCCGGATCCATTGATATCTAAATTTAAAAAGAGAAGTTCATTTATACCACCTGGACAGTTTACATCTATTGAAACTTATATCAAAACAGTCAGACATGATACACGTGTGGTCACCGATAAGAGAAGGACATATAACCATAGACATCCCTCGAATCTAAATAAGGCCGAAACAACCTCCCTTAAGTCATTACAGG